TCTTTTAACAAAGAACAGGCTCAGAGCTTTTTGGTATTTAGGGCAAATTAAATAAAGTCTCATTTTCATTGTACTCAGTTTTACATTTACTTTCTCTTTGCAGCATTTAAGTGATTGACATAAAGTTTCCTTCAAAGTAAAAGATTTAATGAAACAACTTAAAGAAAATATTAAAGATGGCTAAGAGTAGGCAGTCTCTGGGATACAGCAAAAATCAGGAAAATGGTGGTTGGTTGTTAGAAGTCTGGGACTCGGTGTTCTAAAGGCAATGTTACACATATTCAGAAATTAACATCTAGTTTTCCCATAGTTTCCTCCTGGAAACATGTCCAAACAATTGTAAAGCAATTGGACCACACGAGTGCTATACGAGTATGCGATATCTTGCTAAAATTCCCATGGTTTCCAAATATCTTCTAAATATAACAAATCAAACCACCTCCCCCCCCAAAATCAGTAATTAGGCAAACCGGGTGCACACAGGACTTTGAAATCCCTCATCTCTGCTGTCAACTGTAATCAAATCTTCCCCAGACTTCTTATTTTCCAGATTTACCCAAGGCCCCGTGACTTTTATCAGCAATTTATTTTTCTCTGGAAATGTTGCCTCGTTAGAAGACTCAAGAAGAATTCAAAATTAAATTGTTCTGCTGTTTTCTCTCTGGGCAAGGGATGCAATCAAAACTTACTTCCCCTGACTTTCTCGTGCCTCATTTTTCAGACTAAAAAGGATTTTTCTTGGTTGTCTATTTTATCCTTAGCTCACCCCTTCTGCAGCTGTGTCTAGACACCTTCCTCATCAGCTGCAATCAGTTTTTAGCCATGGCATTTTGCAGCTCCCCAGACCCCGAGACTGCAGTTTGGGAGACGTTCCCAGGGCCTGTGAGTCATCGTGAAAGAAGATAAAACATTCCTGCAGGGAGGACTGGTCAGGACTGCCCACTTCACTTCTGCCAGCCCAAGGAAAGAAAGGCAGGACAACCTCAGACAAGGCTTCCCAGCTTGAGGTCTATGGTTTTCTCCAGAGCCAATGCCTCTCCTATAAATATCTTCGATGGCAGCCTCTGTATATGGCTTTGTGTTTCCCTCCATAGCAAACAATAATGCCCATTTTATATGCAAGGATATGGAAATACACTTAGAAGAAACAGACCGTTTTTAAAATGGAAGTAAGCTAGATTGAATTTAAATACATCAGGAGAAACAGATTAGAATTAATATCTTCAAATGTAATACAACAGAGCTGTTTGTAGAAATGTTATCTGCATTAGGATCCTTTCATTTATTATCAAGGTTGGAGACAAAAATTAAATGTCAGTTAGGGAAAGTGTACATTGGGGACAAACCATGTCTTCCCACAGATGAAAATTCTTTGATCATTTTTTAATGTTAAGATTTTTTTTTTTTTACAATTTCCTTCTTTAATACCATCTCTACTAGAAAATTCTGCATAAGATTCCAGTACTCTACAGGGATGCAGCTCCCAGGGCAAAGCTCTGAGTTCAACAAGGCAGTCAAGCTTGGAGACATTTTCACTGCTCTCACAGGTATCCCATCCACAGCTCTGCAGATTTTAGTGAAACGTCACCCTTCAAGAAATAATCAGCCATGAGAGTTCTTAGTTCTTTCTCACTTCCATGTGAATTTGACCAGATAGGCTTCTGTCTCTCTCTCTCTCTCTCTCTGACAGCTTTATTGAGATATAACTGATTTACAAAGAACTGTACATATTTAATGTGTAAATTCAATGAATTTGAACAGGTGCAAACACCTGTGGCACCATCACCACAATCAAGGCATAGGAATATCCAAGCACTCCAGAGTTTCCCTGTGTCCCTGTGTGCATATGTGTGTGTGTGTGGAGGGGGGGTGTTTGTAGTAACAACAATCTACACCAGATCCATTCTCCTTACAAATGTTGCAGAGCACAATGCTGTTGTTACATATAGCTACTATGTTACTTAGTGGATCTCTAGAACCTATTCATCAAGTGTAACTGAAACTTTATACCCATTGAACAGTAATCCCCCATTTGGGGCCTCCCAGCCCCTGGAAACCACCACTCTGTTCTCTGCCTCCGTGACTGAGGATTTTAGGTACCTCCTGTAAGTGGACCTGCACAGTATTTGTCCTTCTATGACTGGCTTATTTCACTTAGCACAATGTCCTCCAGGTTCATCCATGGCATTGCAAATGGCAGGATTTTCTTTATTCCTTCATCTATAGATGAATGCTTGGGTTGGGTTGTTCTGGGAGCGTGGCCATTGTGATTGGTGCTGCAATCACATGGTCCAGGACCTCCTGGGCCGCATGGTCATTACTGGATGATCCCTGTGTTTTACTTTCTGCTGTTTCCTTTCTCTATGGCAACCAGCAGGGATGCTTCTGCAGACCGCTTTTTATCAAGCGGCCGCAGGGTGTGGGTGGGATGGTGGGAGGGAGACTGCAAGGCTGGCAGAAATTCCCGGGTCCAAAAGCACCAGCTCATTTGCTCAGTATCCAGGCTGAGTGGGAGGGGAGTGCCACATGCAGAGTCAGCCCACCAGCCTGGGCTAGGAGGCCACTCTCCCTGCTTAAAGCCTCAAACTCAAATCAGCTTTAGCCTCCACAAAGCTGAGCAGTGACCCCCCCCCCCCCCCCGTCTCTACGGCTGCTGTGATGCTGTTACAGCAGCCCAAGTTGTTAGAACGGCGTCACATGTCTCATCCTCCCTGCCCCCTTACCTGCACTCTCTATGTATTAGCATACCTTACTGAGTGCTAACAGCAAGCTCCACATTATTGCTGGGGTCTGGGGCTGGGGCAGGCGAAGTGGCCTTTTTCTCATGGTGGTTTTAGTCTCATAAGGGAAGTAGGTATTAAACAAACACCACACAAATTATGTATTAAATAGAATGTGTTTATAAAATAATTATGACATCATAAATTATGATTTGCCCTATGAAGGCAGAATGCAGGGTATTTTGACAAGAGTAAGGGCAATCAGAAAGATACAGAAAATGTAGGAAAATACAGATGTTCTCTGCTTGTAAGTGCTTACCAGAGTTGCTGACAGAGCACTAATGATCAAGATTCATTCTACACTTGGGTCTGCTCTCTCTGTGACAGGGTTTCACAACCTCAGCATTGCTGACACTTGGGACTGGACGATCCTTCACTGTGAGGCCTGCCCTGTGCCTTACAGGATGCTAACCACATCCCTGGGCTCTAGTCACTGGATGACAGTAGCAACTCCCTCCCCTGCCGTGCCTGCCCCCCCCCCCCAAATCTGTGACAGCCAAAAAGGTCTTCAGACATTGTTAGATGTCCCTGGGGGCAGAAATCTCCTCCAGTTAAGGAGCACCATTATATGAAGACCCCATGTATTTGGGCGGGGGGGTTCCACAATCTCTCCCTGCTCCTGGAATGGGGATGGGAGTCTCTTATTGCTGAGTGAGCACTTCAACACAGAGAAGTCCTCATGTTACACTCATGTTCCAAATTCCCTGGGAATGTATCTTAGCAACAGAGTGTGACCCATGAGGCCCTTCGTGATCAGATCCCTGCTTAGCAGTCCAGCCAAGATCATCTCCTAAGAGTACCCACACTCACATGCCCTCCTGTCTAAGCTCATAGGAGCACTTGCTATTCAGGGAACACCCTCCCCCATGTTCTCTCGTGAGTTAATGTATTTTCTTTTCCTCTTCTTTTTTCCCTTTCCCCTTGCTCCTTCTCCTACTCCCTTCCTGTTTATTCTGTCTGCCCTCCCCTCTTCCTGCTGTCTCCCTGGAAGAACTCCTACTTGTCCAATTTTCATGTAAGCACCATCTCATCTGTGAAGTATGCCTGGATTCCCCCGATGGACTCAGACACTGCTTCCTAGACTCTCCCTGGATGCCTTCTGCTGCCCTTCATGGTAGCAATGACCCCATAGCATCTTCATTGTTGGTGTGTATACCTGTCCCTCTCCAAACCACAGCCTCCTTGAATGAAAAAAAAGTTGAGATCTTTATTATATTTTATCCAGCATCTCAAGGTATTTTACAGAGGGAGAATGGCCTTCACAGCTATTCTCTTTCTCCTCAACCAGAACATGAGGTGCATGAGGACCGAGACATCGTCTTCACCATCGTATCCTTGCAGCTGGGTCAGTTCCTCATATAGAATCACATCCAGTAAATGTTTGCTGAATGAATGAATAAGAAATAGAAGGAGTTGGCTCTGCTATCATTTGGTGCAATAAAGATGAGAAGCTGGGGTGCCTGGGTGGGTCAGTCCATCGATTATTAGACTCTTGATTTCAGCTCAGGTCATGATCTCAGGGTCCAGAGATCAAGCCCTGAGTCATGCTCCTTGCTCCGAAGGGAGTCTGCTTGAAATTCTCTCTCTCTCCCTCTCCCTCATGGCTCATGAGCCTCTCTCATATACTCATCACACATCTCTCAAATCCATCTGTACAACTCCCACTGCACTCAGGGATGAAGGGTGAGATAACCTATAAACGAGTCTCCTTCTGTACATGAGTCTTAGGCTACTAGCTCATGATTTCTTGCAAGGCCACCTGGATATTAGCATATACTAAAACCACATAATGCTTTATCTACCTGAAAATGCCACGGAAGTGTGGATGTCCAGTGACACCCTCACTCAGAGCCACTCCAGCTCTCCACTGCTTGCAGCATAAATTCCAGACTCCTCTACCAGGAAGTCAGTGCCTTGTGTGACCTGCTCTCACTCTTGCTTTCCAGCCTTATGTCCCAGTGAGTCCCTTTGCTCTGATCATATTGGAATGGTCCTTCTTCACAAGGCTTTCATGCTTCTGGCCTTTGCTGTCTCTGCACTGAAGAGCCTTTTCCTTTGGGGCCTTCAAAGATGAGGACAAATTGAAATGCCACCCCAGTCAGAGACCCATTTCCCATCAGACTCCCAAAGCGTTGATATGGGGATGACCATTTGCTACTGCACCTGGAGAGTCACTGACCACACACCAGCACCGCACACTGAGCCCTTCTTCTTTTCCAGGAGGGGATTCTGACTGTTCCCTGACTGATGCCTGGGAGTCAGAACAGCCGAATGTAGCCCCCTCCTCTAGCCATGCCATGTCTCAGATTCCACGACAAAACTCCCACGATGGGGCTCTTCAGTCTCATGTGATGTCTTCTGAACATTTCCCAGGGAACATTTTGGATCGTGCAAGTGAGTTGTTGTTGTTGTTTTTTTTTTTAATCTATACCACACCCAAAGAATTCCTCCTTTCAGGGCCAGAGAATGAGTTAGAGATGACTAAGGTGCACTTGGGAATGGGATCTGCCTGTGGGCGCAGGGGAGGACCGGGGCACTGCAGCCGCAGGTGACACACGAGCAGAGGAGGTCCCTGCTTTCAGGGTGTCATCTTAGAGGCACCAGAAGGACTGGATTTGCAGTGTTTTATTTCTTCTCTTAAAAACCCTGAAGACATTTGGCAAAATGTGAAGCTTTGCTGAAGCTGGGTGATGCGTACACAGGTGTCTGTGATTTTATGTTTCATACTTAGCTGTATCTCTGACATATTCTATAAGAAGAAAAAGAAAGGAAGGAAGACAGAAGCACCCTTTAGTGCAATGCCTCCGGCAAGGAAAAGTCAAAAGATATAAAGGTATTGGTATTTCCTGTCAGGAGTAAATCTGAAATAAATTCAACAAGCATATTCTTCAACCTCCAGTTTGCCAACATCAGATTAATCATGTCTGTGCACAGCGCAGCATCAAGGCTCTGTCCCTCAGTTTGCCAAGGTTCAAAGCCCAGCCCCCACTTGTTAGCTGTAACTCAGAAGCGGTTCCCCGAACTCTCTAAAACAGCATTTTCATCTGTACATGGAGATATCATAGTTCCTACCTTGTCACGACTAAAATAATTCGTGGAAAGCACTTAGCATCACGCGTCCTGTATCCTAAGTACTCAAAATGTATGTGAGATTATGATTACATAAGACTGAGGTTGAACAGAAAAAAAAAAAAATCTTCTCTTTATTTGTCTTCACAAAACCATGAATATGCATCTCACTGACCATTCTTCCTCACTGTGCCCCCATTCCATTTTGTTCCCAGGTCAGCTACTAGGTGAGTGTTCAAGGCTTTTGTGGTTCCCTTCCAGGTGCTGGGATGACAGAAAGAGCAACTTTCATTGTTTAGACAATTTCCAGATGGTCCACAGTCACCTCTTCCAGAGGTTCCACCTTGTTTTCCGGGGGTTGGGGGGGCAGTTAAGTGACCCTTCTTGGTACTCATCTAGTTTTCAAGGGTTCCTTCTCTCATGCCCATTTCCTACACTGCTCTTGCATATTTACTACGCTTGCATATTTACTTTTGCGTCTTGTCCACCAGGCTGTGAGTTACTTGAGGATGGACAGTATGTCTCAGTCATCTGGATACCAACCAGCCCACATAGCGCCTGGTACAGAGCAGGTGCTCCAAAACTGGTGGACCAATTAAGTGTGCATTCTCCATTTCATAGATAGGGATACTCAAGTTTAGACAGGTCAGGTAAACCTTTGTACATGTGCTTTGCTGTGTCGTGTCCAGAATGTGTCTCCAGACTGCTGTACCTGGAAGGCCCCTACCCCCTTCAAGGCCCAGATTTAAGAACACCTCTGTGGGCCCTTGTCTGCCCCCTTCTGGCTGGTGGGGGTAACACTTCCCTCCAATTCTCTAGCCCTCTGAACTTACTCTATTGAAAACATTTTCCTCCACTTCTCCCACTACAAAGTCCCTGGGCAGACAAGGTCTCCATCCGATTCTATTTGATTTCCTTCACATGTAGGTTGCGAGTATGCAGTCCAGGTGATCTTCTACCCACTAAGGATAGAGGCATGCCTGACATCATCTCTGTCCGTCAGGATGTTTTGTGTTGCAGTGGGTGGGAATCCAACTCAAGTTGGATTAATTAGTAATGGAATTTATTTGCTCATTAATGAAAATTCTGGGCATGGATTTCAGATTACTGTCAGTATCTACTCCTGTTGTTTCTTGTCTTCTATGTCAGCTTTACTCTTTAAAAAGTCTATCACTGGGGCACCTGGGTGGCTCAGTTGGTTAAGCAACCACTTCGGCTCAGGTCAAGATCCTGGAGTCCTAGGATTGAGTCCCACATCAGGTTCCCTGCTGGACAGGGAGTCTACTTCTCCTGCTGACCTCTCTCCTCTCATGCTCTGTCTCTCATTCTATCTCTCTCTCTCTCAAATAAACAAATAAAATCTTTTAAAAAGGCTATTATTACTCTATGATGTTTCTTGATGGCGTTGTGCTTGCAACTTCCCAGATTCCAGTCTAACGGAAAGAGATCATAGCCTTCTTGAGTTATAATAAGAGGCCCAGTTTCACTGGTTCTGGAAGGGTCCCATCTACATGGCAAAATGAATCACTTTGTCGATAAGTCTGTGAAGCTCCAGATGGCTGGAAATGGATCGGATGCTGGGAGGGAATTCAGTCTCCAAGTGAACCATGCACTAAGAGCAGGGCGAGGTGGCTCCCCATGGGCACCACCCCATGCCACCAAAGAATAGCAGTTAGATGCTTACTATTCTCGGTGACTTTGCAAGCTAGTGGGGAAATCTAGAGAAAGCACTTTTAATTCAGTATGTTAAGGTTGCTGATGCAAATGCATGAGGGATAATGGAGGTATAGAGAAGGAGTAGCTGAGAGCCATAGAGGAACTGAAGGAATCGAGGAGGGCTTCCTGAAGGAAGTGACAGTTGAACTAAGCCAAACTAGATACTAAGTAAATGGCTACTGATGCAATGAACTAGTGAATACCTTGTATCAAATCACATAATTGTATCTTTGTAGAATTTGAATTTAAACCAGTCTCTGTTCACTGTTCAAGTCTAATGATTTTGGCGGTCTGTCAAGCTGGACTTGTTTCTGTAAAGAAATGTTTTCCAAATTCCATATCAAATCAGAATCAGCTAAGAATACAAACACACTTTAGAAGAATGGTTAAGTGTTCAGCTGAACCCACAATAACTTGTTGAATTCACAGTATACATGAAATACCGTACATTCGCAGTGACATCATTCACAACTGCTATATTTTGCACTGCCAATCTTCAGTACGCCACCCACATTACGGACTAAGTAGGTTTTGTTAGCTGACTCAATCTTCATTCATGGCAGAAATAGCAGAAATAAATACATTCACAGCACAGAGTCATTCCAAGTTTTAAACAACTGTTGCAAAATTAAGCTTTTGAAGCATTTGGCAGAAATTAAGCTGAGGTCTTTTTATCCTTTCCTTTAGATCTTTATGTGATTCTTCTTAAGCCAGCTCCGATTTCTTTTAGATCACTCGAGTAATATTCAGGTTCATGATTAGTTTAACTTCAATGATTATAATTCCTGGGGGATTTCCTGTCATTTCCAATGTGGCTCTATAGCACTGAAATATCTTATTCATAGCAGAGTTTTTCAAGGACAAATAGTTCTTAATATACATTCTTTTTTTTTTTTTTCCCCTCGAGAGACTCGCAGTATGCAAAGTTGCAATTCTCTTTCCCTGCCCCATTTCAGGCAAAACATTGTGTTCTGGCTAGACATCGTTTTTAAACCTTGGCTCTGACACCTCAGAGCTGTGTCACCTTGGGGAGACTTCATCATCTCTCAGTCTTGGTCTTCTCACGTAAGAGCAATGACAGTGGTTCCTACTTTACAGTTTGTTGTGTTGACTCAAGGAGGCGTGAAAACTCTTCGTGAATTATAAGGCAGTCTATAACTTTTAGGCTTGATTGTCGTCATCATCAGAATTAGATTTCTGACATTAGCTTATATTCCACAAAATGTTTCCCCAGTAAAAATTTTACAGTAAAAGGCAAGCCCCGAAACTGTTTGTGTAGCATAATTATTTCTTAAAGACAGAAAAAATTATTATTTGCTAAAATTATCTAATGAATGAATCTGTATGACATCGATAATTTTATCTTGCTACTTACGGCAAATTGCTTGAGCTGACATACATTTGAAAATGTGTTTTGTGGGGGTATTTTCGTGTATAAAAAAGAAATTTTATTGTAATTTTGTTGTTCTAAGATTGTCAGCAATGGTTTCTAATTCATTTATTTTTATTTTTTCTATTAGAAGCCAGTCTGTGGCAAGAGGTCTCCTTTCCAGCAATTCTGCTGGCTGTGTTCCTTATCATCTGTGCATGTGCAAGGTAATTCAGATTTTCTTTTCATGCAGCAGTGTTTCATGATTAATAAAGCTGTAATTGATTGATAATTTCCTCACCCGATTCCACAATGTCTTTTCAGTAGCTCCGTGGTTAAGATCGGTTCCTTTGCCTGTGCCCCTTAAGTGCCTCTTTTTCTATCACTTCCCCCCTCTCATTATCTCACAGAGTGTACAAAAGCCAGTGGATCTTGCTAGGAATTTGGATTTTATTATGTATGATCTTTCACTTAAATCCTAGTGACTCCCTGCTACAGTTAAAACCTGAGTAACCCCACTTGGAGTTCAAAGGCATTTGAAGTCCCAGTAAGGTCATGTGAAGTCCCTGCTGGGACTCCATCTTTCTTATTACATTGTTACATCCTCACATAAAGTATCGGTTCCAGGGAAGCCCACTCAGAATCTCGGATCTCATAATGCTCTTGCCTGATTATAGGCACATTTTTGTTCTACCCTCTATCCAGCATGCCATTCTTGTTCTTTTCTTGCCCAAGTCGCTAGGGCAGTGGTCAAGTCGCTTCTATGCTAACTGCTTTCATGCCTCAGGGCCTTTGCACTTGCTATTAATTCTGCCCAGTACAGCCTTCTCTAGAAAGCCCCATAACGTGTGTCCTTACTTCTTTCTGGAGTCTGTTCAAATGTCACATCATCAGAGAGACCTTCTCTGACAGCCCTGTATAAATAGCATACCACTCTCTACCACACATGCCTCACTTTACTTTTCTTAGAGCATTTATCACCATGTGACCTATTATGTGTTCACCTGTTTAAATGTTAATGATCTATCTCTCCCTGAAGGAATGTGAGCTCCATGAGAGTGGAGACATTTTGTGTCTCCTTCACTTCTGTACCCCCAGTGCCAGGGGCTCATCCGTGTTTGTTGAATCAATGAAACAGGGATAAATGGTCTAGACCTGGGGTCTTTGGGTGTTTGCACTCTGGTAAGCAAGTGTTGCTTGCTCTCAAGTCCCACCTCTTGAAGGTCAAATACCTCACATCACTTGGAGGAGTTGTGTTTTTAAATACAAAATCCTGGATCCCAGCCCTTGAGATACTAATTCAGATCTAGTGAAAATCTGTATTTTAAAACAAGCGTCCCAGATAATTAAGAGGTTTAAGTAGTATTAAATATTTTTAGATTACAATGGGACCAAAAGATCAAAAAGTGGGGGAGGTCTTGTGGTTAAAAATAAGTTTGCAAAATTCTGCATTGTGTATCCCAAGTCAGAAAATCATATGTGCATTTGCATAATATAGACCCAGTGAAATAACATAGGGAAGAAATATGATTAGTTTTATTTAACTTAATGTTAAGATGTTATCTATGAATGTTTCCCAACCTTAGTTGATCATGGAAACTTTTATTTCATGGGACTACTAATGAAATGTTCCTCTTAGGTTAATTACTCTAGATATGAACCTCCCCAACCCCTGCCCCCCCCTATTAATAAGGGGCTTAACTCACCATCCGCTGAATGGGAGCTGCATTTAGAAACTTGCCTGCAAAAAAGCAGAGCATGGAAAGGGGGAAAAAAGGAAATTTACAGCCAATAAACCTGTCAAATATGACCTCAGATACTCAGATGGTCAAGGTGAACATCAACAGAGATAAGCTATACTGATAACATGTACCCTTGATATGATGTGATGAGAATGGCACTTTGTCTCTGTGGTCTTCCAGACCTCAGTCTAATCAGAGAAAAACTTCAACTGAGAACATTCTACATATTATCTGACCAGGACTCCTCAAAACTGTCAAGGTCATCAAAACCAAGGAGAGTCTGAGAAGTTGTCACAGCCCAGAGGAACATAAGGAGACATGACTGAATGTCATGAAGCATCCTGGATGGCTTCGTGGAATGTGGATAAATTAGGGAAAAACTGTAAAGTCCAAAAGTCGTGTGGAGTTGAATGGGAAGTACCAATATTGGTTCTTACATTATGACAGTATGCCATAATAGTATAAGATACTGATCCCTGGGAAAGCTCAGTGAGGGGTAAATGAAAACTCTCTGTGCTATTTTTGCAACTTCTCTGTATATCTTAAGTTATTCAAAAATTTTAAAAAGATTATTTAAGTAAGAGATTGGTTAAAAGAAAAATTATTGATATGTGTAATAGCATGGATGAATCTCAGATAAAAGACTGTATGATTGCAGATACATGTAAAATTCAAGAAAAGGCAAAATTAATTCATTATTACAACTATAAGAAAGTAGTCAATGGGGCATCTGTGTGGCTTAGTCAGTTAAGCATCTGATTCTTGATTTAGCTCAGGTCGTGATCTTGGAGTTGTGAATTGAGCCCCATGTGGGGCTCCGCACTAGGCATGAAACCTACTTAAGATTCTGTTTCTCCCTCTTCCTCTGTCCCTCCTAACCCTCTCTAATTCTCTTAAAAAAAGAGAGAGAGAGAGAGAGAGAGAGAGAGAAAGGTTAACTCTGGGGAAAAGAGTAGGCAAAGGAAATGTTAGAGGCTGCTGGAAATATTCCATATCTTCATCTGGGTAGGGAATACAGGAGTTCAGGATTAAAAAAAAGAAGAAGAAAGAAAGAAAACCCAGGATGTGCACTTTAAATGCTTTATTGTACATTGGTTAAGTTTCAATTAAATAACTTCAATGCATACAAAGAGAGGCCTAAAAGGGTATTCATCAACATTTATTAATGGCTGCTTTAGGCCAGTGGAGTTTTTTGGTGATATTTTCCTTTCCCTTCCATATTTATTTATAATTTCTTTCAGTGATTCATTTTTTGAAAATAAAAACAATAAATAAATGATTCTTTTTAAAAAGACCCATCTTGTGGACACCTAGGCAGCTCAGTTGCTTAAGTGTCTGCCTTTGGCTCAGGTCATGATTCCAGTGTTCTAGAATCAGGCCCCCATGTCAGGCTCCCTGCTCCCTGCCTGCCACCCCTCCTGCCACTCCCCGTGCTTGTGGATGCTTTCTCAATCTCTCTGACAAATAAATAAATAAAATCTTCTAAAAAAAATTCCACCCTGTGAAACAATACCCATCAGATCGGTAAAACCCCAAAATTTTAACAATGAATCTTGGAACACTGAAAAAATAAAATTTAATTTAAAAAAAACCCACAAAATTTTAACATACTTTTTGGGCAAGGTTGTAAAGCAGTTGGCCTATGGATTTTCTCCTTTGTTTCTTCTAAATAGTTGATACTTTTGTGGTTACATTTCAGACTACGGCTCATTTTGAGTTACATAGTTAAATTTTGTGTTGAGGTGTGATGTGTGTGTGGACGTTCATCTTTTGCATGTGGATATACAATTGTTCCAACACCATTGCTTAGAAGGCTATCCTTCTCCACCAAACTGCTTTTTCTCCTCTGATAAGACTCAGTTAACTATATCCATATGAGTTCACTTCTGGTCTTTCCATTCTCTGCCATTGACCTCCATGTCTATCCTTCAATAATGCCACAATACTGTTATTACTGTAGTTATTGTAATTCTTAAAGTAAATCATAAGCCTTTAGTCTACAAGAACGTTGCATGTGTTAGAAAGGCATAATCAGTTTGCTAAACCTGAGAAATCCTGTTGTTTCAGATGGTTTCTGGAAGGAATATTAGTCAGTGTCTTCACATGTTCACTGGTGGTGATTATTGCCTGTAAGTAGCCATTTCTCAAATTATTCCCCTGACCCTTGTATTTTATTCCAATTTGGGTCATTTAAAAATAATTCTTAACTATTTTCTCTTTCTTGTCCAAGATACTGCCAAGCCATTATTTCTTGGCCTTGCCAGCTATGTCAAAACCACCACCTATGCTCAGTAAGTATTGACTTACCACCGTCTGGTCAGAGATGACTATAATCTGCTCTCTGAGAATGCTTCTTGCTGAGTAATAGATGACAATGACTACACACAGGAAAGGTCCTGATCATTTGTCCTTGCGAATACTTCCTGTTCATGCTAAAACCTAATGGCATTATCATCCTGTCTCTTAAATTCTTACAAATTCCTCAAAATAGACAATTAAGCTTTAAGGAGGTAGGACTTAATAAATAACATGAACTTAGAAATTTTAAGTAATTTCAAAGTGCTTTTATAGATGCATGGCACTGCCCTTTATAAATACCTCTTACTGAGAGGACTTTATCTTATAGTTTCCCAAATAACCGGCAAACTGCCCATGAAGCGGTCTCAGTTACAAAGTGTGGTTTCTCTGCCATCTCTCACTCACGTAAGGGTGCCCCTGTGTGCTAACTGCCACAGCTCATCATACTTCAAAGGGTTACTGGGGTCTGGGTGAGATGTTCTCAGAATTTCAAACAGTCTGCAAAACACCATCCCATCAAAAGATGGATTGTGCTAATTACCTTCTCTTCAATATGGCTGCCAGAGGCCAGCTCCCATAGACTGGAGACAGATGGATGTCTATAATTCAAATTAGTTTACTGGCCTTTGCTCTTGACACAAGGTTGCCCTATTTATGAAATCATCATGTTAATTCTGAAATCACGATGGGACTTAATGAAGATTTATTTTGTTTAGGACTGTAGCCAGTATTGATTTCCTGACACTCTGACTGATGTTTCCCTTCGTTTCCTTGTATTCCAGGGTTTCTGGGGGGCAGGCATTGATATAGCTAAGATTTGTTTAACCTCATAGTTAGGAAAGTGGGTCCTGAGGCCACCCAAGAAATTCTTATTCATTAGCCCTTGTATATTAATGACTTAAATTCCTCTAAGATACTCACTCCTTCCCTCCAGCTACAGGTCACTCTCTAGGTCTGCAGAAACTTTGGAGTGCACCTCACTCAGCATTAATGACAAATTTGCATGCACACTCAACTTTCTGGGCTGAGATGTCACACCATTCAGGACTGGACTAACCAACAGTGTCTAAACGACAGATACTCACACAAAGAGCCATTTTATACCTCCACTTTCAGAAGTAAAAACATTGTCGTTGCTTGTCAGATGGTGTGACTTGTTCAAATCCCTTCTCTTTGGGTTTTAAGGTGAACTTGTACAATTAATCAGAAAGATAGGTATCATCTGGTTAAGAATTCCGTAATGAGAGCAGAGTCTCAATGCATGGCATGGGGACATCTGCTCTAGAACCAACTGGAGAGCTTCTATCCTGATTCCAGCTCTTCTGAATCCAAGAATTTCCAAGGGGCCTTCTTTTTTTTAACAACCTCTCTAAGTAATTCTTTGCACATTAACTGTGTGAACCTTGGAAAAATGGTTTTTAAAATCTTTACCCCTTGATTTCTAAAGTGACATCATTTAGCCTACTAAATCTTTGTTGAGAACTTATGATGCATTCTGTGCTGTGCTGAATGTCCAGTTGCACTCAGGAGAAAAATATGGAGTATTTCCTAACTGTCAGATATGTCCTCTAGGTGCCAAGGCTGCTATGCCAAGGCCTTGAGATTTCAGAGTCTAAAGAGACATGTAAAGGGCAAAGTGAAGTCCCATTTAATATGGTTAGTGCAAGTACAGAGTTAGCACAGAGGCTGGGGGAACATCAGGAGAGTGGTTTTGCCAGTCTGGGAGGGATGGAAGGAAGTATGGAGGAAGGGGAGGCTTCTTGGAATGCCAAAGTCTGACCTGTAGGGCATAGTGTCACCTCTTGCTTTCAGAGCACTTGCCATTGTTTTGAGCTCCTTGTTTTTTCTCTCCTAAAAGAAATTAGATCAGGATGATGATGATATTTCTATCCTACATACACTCATCTACAGCCTCAATAAGATCCCTCCTTTGATTATTTGTGTCTGTACTTACCTTGTTCTTCTCTTGTTCCCTCTCTATTTTTGTCCCATTTGCTGCCCTCTCCCCAGCCTCTTGTACACACACTATTGCATTTAAGACCTATGAAAACAAGGACTATTGATTTTATTCTTGTATGCATCTCAATGTCTTGAGAATAGAAGATATACCATGAATATTCATCAATTTGTATGTATTTGCTGCATCATTTCTTAAAATACTTCCTTTGCAGCCAAGAGCTCTGTGTCTGTATATTAAACATTTTGTAACTCTCTCCCTCACACATAAACATATCCAGAAGCTAATAAACCAAAGATGTGGTTATTAAAATTGAGAGGTAAGGATGACTCATAAGGCTCCTCTAGCAATCAAGGATGAAAACCTAAGAGGGTGGAGTGCAAGCACTTAATTCAGCTCCACAAACTTTAGTGGTGCAGCCATCCCATACCTGTTCTGCACTGTACGTAGTAGATTAGATTAGGGCTCTATTCTTTCACACTTCGTACCTCTCAAGTCCATCTCTTTTCATCTCATAACGCGATTTTCATTCAACCACTTTATTTGTTCAATTTAAAGTCTGTGAGTCTGCGGACTATCTATATGGCTCATCATTGGCCCAAGTGTCCCTTTCATATGAAGGTCATCGCAGGTATCCCTTGTTACCAATGATGTGTTGGCATCGGCAGGGTGCATTTTGCACATTTATGATGTCATAGTAAGGAGATGGGTAACATCTGTTCCCTCTACTCTTACATGTCGGAATGTGTGTTTCTACAGTTGGTGAATGAATGCATAAACTTTAGTGAGTAGAAATATTGGGAAAACCCTGTAAGGATTTCTGTTCTAGAGGAAGTGATGCAGGTGGAGAAAGAAAACAATATGAAATGGTGGTTAACTAAGTACCAAGCTGGGATAAAAATAAAAGTTACTCCAAGTTGAAGCTCCACTCTTCCTAGTTATGATTACTTAAGGTAGTTTGTGAGTGTGTGTGTGCGTGCGCACGCATGCACGTGTGCACCCATGCACACAGTGATTGCAGTAGTTATCACATTTCATGTCTATGTGGATGAATCATGCATTTCTTTTCTCTCTTCTCTGATCTAGGTTTGCCAAAATTTGACAACCACTTAGGAATGTCTCTGATGAATGCCTTCAATCTGAATATCCAGAAATTGTCTGATTTGCAGTCTGCTTGGAATCAATTGTTTTATTGGAGGAGAATGAGGAGCTGGATAATTGAGAAAAAAATATTTTAATTTGGTTATGTGTTTTTTTTAAATCTCATTTTTGTCCTCATAATTGTAATATGCTCATGAAAATAGTATTAATTTGTCTTTCCTTTGCAACACTAGCAGTTGAAAAGGAACAGACTATAAACTGTGATAGAGAAACAACCTCCTGGGTGGATATTCCTCTCTTATTCCCTGAGGCATGGTTTTCAAACATTAATTTCCATTTAGAGAATTCTATGAGGCACTTGTAACAATGCAGATTCCTGGGCCTGCCCGCAACCACCTCTTCCTTGCTGAACTGCTTTAATTGAATAATGTAAGCAAGTCTCTGTAATCAATACCAACTTGAAAATAAATAAATCACAGTTTGAGCATAAAATACAATGTAGAAAAAAATTCGTCATTCTCCCCGAAGAGTGGCTGGGTGGGGGTTGGTGTCAGCAGATGCAGGTTAATGGAAAATGGGCAGAAAAGAGGTTTTCTTTCGGAAAGCACATTCTTCTTTTGAGCCATTTCCTTACAAAATTTTCAGCCTTCTTGGAGCTCATGATTACCTTTCACTTAAGAGCGATTAAAATAAAGATATAAGAGGGGACGCCTGGGTGGCTCAGTGGGTTAAGCCTCTGCCTTCAGCTCAGGTCACGATCTCAGGGTCCTGGGATCAAGCCCCACATCAGGCTCTCTGCTCAGCAGGAAGCCTGCTTCCCCCTCCCTCTCTGCCTGCTTATGATCTCTGTCTCTCTCTCTGTCAAATAAATAAAAATAAAACCTTAAAAAAATTAAAAAATTAAAGATATAAAAGAAAAAAATCTTTAAGGGCCAAAAAAAAAAAAAAAGGCAAAACATCAGAGTACCTTGAAATGCATAAAAATGAAATGCATAAAAAATGCAGTCACTCAGCCGACTGAAGGGATATAGAAGTATAGAAGATGCTTCCTATCATTGCTCTTGCTTGGAATATGTTCTTGAGGCAAACGTAGCCTGCAGTTCAAAGTTGTTATGTTGTATGATATTCTCCAGCTAGACACCTGTGTGGAGAAAATTGTCTTTGCTTAAAATGGTAATATCAAAATATCACTCTTTGTATTATTTGTATTTAGTGAATTTGATTTTAAAAAGTACTGTACTAGTAAATAAATGAAGTCGTCAGCAAAGTATATCTATGTGTCTATATCTATCTATCTATCTATCTATCTATCATCATCTATCTATCATAAAGAGCAGTCACGACTGCAATTCATTAATTGGACACTATTAGTTTGCTACAGCTGCCATAACAAATTACCACAAACTGGTGGCTTTAAATGACACAAATTTATTGTCTCATATCTCTGGAGTCTATAATCAAGGTGTTGGCAGCACTATTTTCCTTCTGGGGGGTTCAGGGAAGAATCTCTTTCCTTGCCAGTTTCGGCTTCTGTTTGCAAGGTGGCTCCTTCCTCCAGCTTCCAGGCACACAGCTTGCTTCCAGCATCACATCACCTTCTCCTCATCTGCAGTGAAATCTCCCTTCACCTCTCTCCCAAAGGACACATGTATTCGTCTATAATTATGATTTACCCCGAAGGGAAAAAAAAAAGTGTTAGGCAATCACAAATGAGTCTTAAAAAAAAAAAATTATGATTTACCCCGAACATCAAAGACTGTGTGTAGAGTAGGGCAGACGGGAAGACACTGAAGTGTCAACTACCCTTATCACCAGAAATGACTGGAGGATTACGAGAGAGTTAATTAATATTCTGGGAAAAGTACATCAAAGTATCCCAGAGGATCTTGTGGCAATGGCCAAGAGATACGAGGCAAATAAAATGAAAAAAAAAAGAAAAAAAATTAGGGAAAGCCCAAGAAATTATATTATTAATGTTTACATTGAAAGGTGATAACAGGTTACTTATCGGAGATTTCAAGATTTTTTGAGAGATATGTTATTTAGGATATGTGGAAGTATTGGGAACATGCTGGCAAGATGAAGACTTGACTGATTCTTAAAATAATAGTGATCAAAAATGTACAATTCAATACTTTATGCTTTCTTTAATAAAAGTCAAAAGTATTTTAAAAAATAAAGGACCCGGGTATTTACATTTAAGTTCCTCTCTAATCATCCAAGGGGTGATGGCAATCTTCCCATCCCCAAAGCATTATCATAATCCTGGCTGCAAATCCCTCTTGCTCTAGAAGGTAATATTCATATATACCAGTGATTAGAACCTAGATGTCTTCAGGGACCATTAGTTAGCCTGCCACCATCTTCAGTTTGGAATAGATTTGCATGATGATTTAGTAGATCTGGGAGGTGTCCCATACATTTGTCTTTTTAACAAGTAAGCAAATTTATCAGAGGGTGGTTTCAAACCACATTCATGGCATGCTTTGAAGAGGGATTTAATTGGAAGCTAAGTGCATAGAGAGCCTTTCATTTTGATGCTCTATCAGGAGAGCATGCCTTGAGAATTCCACAGTGACCCTGTGTTGTGCACACGTTTATACAGGGTCACTGAATTTTCATGATTTCCAAGTCAGATGCAGAAATAAAAATAATTAGGGTGCCTGGGTGGCTCAGTCAGTGAAGCATCTGCCTTTGGCTCAGGTCATGATCTTGGGAACCTGGGATCCAGGCTGTGTCTGGCTCTCTGCTTAGCAGGGAATCTGCTGGTCTTCCCTTGGACCCTCCCCAACCCCCATCCCACGTGTGTTCTTTTTCTCACTCTCTCTTTCTCAAATAGATAGTAAAAAAAGAAAATCTTTTCTTAAAAAAGAAATAAGAAGAATAGTTTATAATTATGTTCTATTTTATTGCATCCTGGACCTTTCCTTTCTAATCATATAAGCTTTCTATCACTGCTGTAACAAATTGTTACAGACTTGACGATTTAAAATGAAATAAATTTATTATCTTACAGTTCTGAAGGTCCAATGCCCCAAAATGAGTTGCAGGAGCCTACAATCAAGATGTCAGCAGGCCGTGTTCCTTCTGGCGGTTCCAGAGAAATCCCATTTCCTTGCTCTTCCAAATTCTGGAGGTTGCCTACCTTTCTTGGCCCTCGGGGCCCTTCCTCCTCCTTCCAAACACATCCTTCTGCTTCTGCTGTCAATGACTTTGGCCTTCCCTGCCTCTTTCTTAGGAGGATTTTTGTGATCATATTAAACCCACCCAGATAATCCAGGATAATCTCTCCATTTTAAGATCCTTAATTTAGTCACATCTCTAAAGTCCCTCTGCCATGAAGGTTAACATTAACAGGTTTAAAGTACAGTTGCTACTGAATGCATATCACTTCTGCATTACAAAGTAAAAAAATCCTAAGACAAACCATTGTAAGTCAGGGCCTGTCTGTATATATATCACTAGATATCTAGATCTACATCTAGATCGTTCTAAATCTACATCTCTCTCCCTCTTTCTATCAATAATATATTCTATTGGTTCTATCTATCTATCTATCTATCTATCATATGTCCTATTGGTTTAATAACAGGTATTAAAACCACCATTTTATAGCTAAGCTTAGAGAAATTTGATAACTTTCCCAAGCACAAAGAGGGCAAAGTAAGAGGTCTAGGTATTACACCCAAGTCTGTGTGACCCCTCAGTCCTTGCTTTTCCCACTATTGACTACTCCTGGAAAGATGAAAAGAGAAGGACATGGGACCTTGAAAATCAAATATTGCCCCAGGCACTCTCTCCGGAAATACTAACTTTAGGAAAAGCTTTCCATGAGGCAAGACGTTAAATGAAAAGAGCCAAACTGTGACCTTTACCTTCCTTCTTGTAACTCAAGTTTCTCAAATCTAGTTTGTCCAAGATTTCACATGAACGCTAGGAGAGAGAAATTGCCCAGCACCATCTGGTCTACTTGAAGATCTCTGCTTGTAAAGGCTTCTATAGCTGTACCCCGCTCATGGAAAGACCTGCTCTTCTGATGGAGTATCTATTATGTTCTAGATGTTGTATCTACCTTATCTATAATTCCCATCACGGTCCTGCCAAGGATTACTTCATATTATAGTTGCTGTAGCAGGCAAACCCATGTAGTGCCTGATGTGGACCAGGCAGGTCTCCATTATTTTTAACTATGCCCTTGGCCTCGAAGCTTGCCCACTTAAGTGCCTTGGGCTGCGGGGTGACGTGTCCCTTCCCTTACATGCCACAACTAAGTATTAAAGTTACACAACTATGGGGGAAAGGCCAGGAAATGTAGAGGAGCATGTGGATGTTTGGTGAGCTCTAGCCAACTCTGACACACATTTTAAAGATGAGGAATGGTGGATCTCAGAATGCATGCTTCATCCTGTTGCACAACTCATAATTGGCGAAGCCCAGAATCTACTCAGGTCATTAAAACTCCAGTGCCATTTCCCCTCAGTGTTTCCCCAAGTAAAACCTACTGTAGTCACTTGAAAATAACTCAGATGCAAAATGATCTGCCTGTGCCACAGGGGATGCCAACCAACCCCCCATCCTCCCCAAAAGGAATCCCACTATTGCTCATGCAACACAGCAGAGCAGACACCTGCTAACTTGGCATACTTTGCATCAATGCCACATTTCCCTACTAGGCCTTGATGAAGGTCTGGTCATGTATTTTTAAAAAAATCTATCCCACTGTGATGGCTGTATCCCGTCCATCTGTCCCATGCTGGGTGAAATGGGCTACAGCTGCAAGCTACACCTGCCACGGAGCCAGACGCACCTAGGGGGTGGGTAGCAATTTAGCAGGTGGATACTAAAAGCCGGCAACCACTCTGCAAAAATTTTCTTATCCTTGTGTAGCCTTAAAAGAAAGAAAAACAAAGAAAATGAAATGCAGGAGTGGGGGTGGGGGCAGAGGGGACCAAGGCTGGTGCCTCCGGACTTTTATTTTCAATGCAAAATGTCCTTTTGTGATTGCATTGAGGGGAGAGAAGGTGACACATCCTCCACCCCAACCCAAACTGGGATGGCATACTTTTGTGTGGGTGAAACTCAAGTTCATTCTGCAAGGGAGC